TTATACCTATTTGGTACCTAGAAACATGAAATGCAGATTTATGGATATAGACAGAGTGTTTCACTCTAGCTATTCATGAACATAATGCACACACATCCAGAAATGAATATGCAAATCCTGGCTCCCCTGATGCAGTTGGCAGAATTTTTATTGACACTCACAAGGCCTAGTTTTCACCTGTGATTACTGACCAGTAGACAATGTTTCCATTAGCTCAAATTATGAAAAGACTGAAGAGACACCTAATTCTTAAACAACTTAATATTTTGAGGAGTCCGTGTTTTCTTTCTGACTGTAAATTTGAAAAGTTCTCTTTTTATAGCTCAGTTGAAAGTCTCTGGAGCCTAGATGTATTTGCAACTCAGCATTCCCTTTGTTCCCAGTAAATAAAAATGTACCCATTTAGATGCTCATCAATATTCAGAATAACTTAAAAAGGTAGCCAGCTTCTAATATGGCTGAAAGAGCAAGTAGTTCCCCAGACAGTAATTTCTGAGTCCTAATGTTATACACGTGTTATCCCACTGGTAGTAGAGTAACTAGCAAGTAATGCATGCATAAACCATATCACATTTGCACCAGATTATTCCTGTAGAGATGTACTCTGCTTCTTTGATCACTAAGTATGCAGCCACGCACACAAAAAAAAACACTGTCAGAAAAGCCTGGGTTGAATACATTTTACAGTTTTGAATTTTTGTTTTTTCATTTTCATAGAATAATGTGGGTTTAAACCAGTGATATCAGCTCCATTTTACAAACTTTTTACACTTTGGGGATATTCAAGAGATATGGACTTTTTTCTAACACTGAGTAATATTGCCCTTGGAGCAATATGCTTTCCTGTCCCTGAAATATTAGTTCTTGTGTCCCCCATTACTTCCAGCCATGATGCCCCCTGGTTATGTACTCTTTATAGTGCCAATCTTGACACAAAATTGGCAGTTGACTGAAGTAAAATTTAAATGACAACATACCTTGTTCACATTCAGAGAAATTTTTTTTGCTGCATATTCCAGTTGTGTTACAGTATTACTTCAATTCTTCATTTTCTATAACTCTTCACTGATCCTTGACCCACAGAACTCTTACAGAGATAATAGTTTTCACTTCTACTTTTGCAAATATTTCTGAGAGTGTGCAAACATTTAAAGACCATTACTGAACCTTTACCTAATCCAATTACATTTTCAGACCTGTAGGGGTTAATCTGATTCTGTACCAGACTTTTTGTTTGGTTGGTTTTGCTTTTGAAAGAATGCGGAACTCTCTTCCACAAATGCTGTACTAGAACTATAAGCTATAAAAAAGGCAAGAGACCATGGAATAGACAGAGCTGTATCTCCACTTAGTATTATAAATGCCTGCAAATAATGTCCTGGAGCCTACAAATATCCAGGTAAATGTTATGCCTTTTGAAATGCCTCTTGCCATTTCAATGAGGATCAGTTTGGCAAGGTCTGGTCCATTTCCCTGCACTTCATGTTACTGCATGCCATTTTGTTGTTAGCCCTTTGGTGAAGAACTTTTTTATTTTCTTGAAGCATTTCGTTTTATCAATTTCTACTGCCTTTTTTTATTTTTACTTTGTTCCCAGATTTGGGGATGTCAGCAAAGTTCATTTTGTTACATTTCAGTCCAGTGCACCTCATTTAATCACAATCCATTTGGTTGTAGTCACTTAATTTCAAATTTTTTTAATTGCATTTTCTTTTATCATCTCTCCCTTCCAGAGTGATTGTGAAACTTGCTCTTATATTTTCTAATATTTTCAATATTTTCAATATTTCGTTTTGTTTCATGAAAGAAATTTCTTCTCGGCACTGTCCCAACATTGATCACTCCTCATCTTGCTACTTGACGCCAGCATCGGCCCAAGGCTGGTTTTAGAGCTCCACCTAGGGTTAGGATCAGGGCTCAGGAAACCACAAAGCCCAGTGCTCCAGTGATACTGCAATTGCAAAAGGCATGCCAACGTGAACATGGCACTGCCCCAACATCCCTCTTCATCTTTCTGATTGGCACCAGCCTCCGACGAATGATCTACTTACTGCACCGCCTAGGGTTAGGGTTACACTTAGGGTTACTGTTCAGAAAACCACAAAGCCCAGAGCTCCAGGGACACTGCAACCACAACAAAGCATGCCATGAGGAGCGCAGGGCTGTCTTAACCTTGCTACCTCCTTGTCTTTCTGCTCATTCAGCCTCAGCTGAATGCTCTGTTTTTAGAGCTCCACCTAGGGTTAGGGTGGTAACACTTAGGTAACACTTAGGGTTAGGGTTTACAAAACCACAAAATCCAGAGCTCCAGGGACACTGCAATTGCAAAAAGAGCAACGAGGGGAGTGCTGCACTGCCCCAGCATTACTCCCTCCACACCTTGCATCTTGGCACTACCCATGCGCTGGGCACCTCAGATTTAGGCACAACAATGTCAGGGCTTTTCCGGGATCACCTTTCCATGTCTTTTTCAGCCCCATTACTCCTGGAGGTCTAGGCTCTTCTACTCTCTCAGTGCTAACCCTAATGGCAGCTTGGCGCTATGGCAGAGGTCCTTATTGCCATAGGTGGCACAGATTTAAAAGTGAGGAGTTAGCAATGTCGCCACCCCACCCTGAGGAAAATTCTTTGTTGCATGAAAGGAAATGAAATCTCAATATATTAATTAGTATCATTTCATTAAATTTTGATTCGTTTTGTGGCACTTCATTTCATTCAATTCCATTCCAGTGATTTGACTTCTAAGTATTTTCTTATTTTCATTTTAAATTTATTTCATTATCTTTCCTCCTCTGTCTTTTCATTTAACTCCTCTACTTGTTTCCTCATTCTATTTCCCTTCATGAAACAAATTTCATAAAAAGAAACAAAATCTCAATATTTCACTAAGTATTATTTCACCCTGTTTCTGTCCATTTCTCTGCACTTAGTTTCATTCCATTTCACTTCTGCCACTTCATGCCAGAATTTTCTTTTTTTTTCCATTTCATTTAATTTCATTATATTTCCTTTCCTGTCTTTTTCTTTAACTTCATTCCTTGATTATTAGCTATACTAATTAAATAAAAACCATATTATTTTATTTTCCTCACCTTCAGAAGATTGCTGCATTATAATTATTTATAAAGGGGAACACTTAAGAGAAAATTCTATTTCACAACTCTGTATTTTTACTGTGTTTTTTTCATTTTCTGAATAGCTGCATACCGATGAAAAGCGAAGATGTACTTTTAAAAATGATATAATTAACAATTCAGATTTCTCCAAATCTAATCTTTTTTTTCTCCTTGCAAGAATTACTGGCCAATTTCTCTCCACATTTTCAAGTCTTTTCCACTACATCAGAAATGTCATTTTCATCAATTAAAAAATGCCTGCAAGCAATTCGATTTCAGTTACAAACCACCTCTACAGTAGTCAAAAAACATTGAGCATGCTGCTTCTTCTAAGTTCAGAATAAATATAATCTTCAGTTTATTGTCAATTAGTCCAGACCTCATAGTTATGTGAAATCCAGTGACATGATTTTAAAAATCTTTTCCAACCTAAGCCATTCTCAGGTTCTCAGAATACTCACCTCACTGCTGGCATTCACCTTTATTAAGATGTAAAACTTTACTTAAAACGAAGGAAAAATCAGACTAAACTAAAAACCACATGCCATGAAAATCTAGGTAGCTATTTTTTAAAGGAAATAAGTATTCTATATCACAAAATCAATTTTAATTGGATACTTATGCTTCAGCTGTTCTCAAAACACTGATCTAAAATGATAAGTAATATCAGAAATAGAGGCAAAACCTTGTTATAGACAAATGGACAATAATATTATGACATTATCTGTTTCTCATATCCATATTAAATTCCTACACATACTTTTGTAGTTGAAATTCTGGTTTATTACTTCTCACCTATTTCAGTGAGTTTATTTAAATGCAGATTTATCTCTCAAGTAATTTTGCTGCTGTAGGCACTCACCTAGCTCAAAATACTTACATTAGGTAACCACAATTTTACAGAAATGTCTCTAGTAATTGTTGGAGGTGGAAAAGGGAAGATTAGTTTTCATACATTAGTATGTGTATTGCAATAATGTTCTTAAATTGATCCTAACTTAAAACAATATTAAATAGAATAATTTCAAGTCTATATGAAAATAACATTAAAGTGCAACTGAAAGCAGCTTTTAAATGTCTTTTGGGTTTTTTTTCTTTAAATTCCTGTGATTACCAAAAATATATTAGACCTGTGATAGGCTTTTTTGAAGAGCTTTAAAAGCCCATTAACCCAAAACTATTACAAGAAGCAGATATTTCTGAATGTAACCTAATTAGGTTATATTTCTCTAGGACAAGCTCAGCTTTCTTCCTTATGATCAAATTATTAGCAGGTGTTGGTTGCCTCAGGAAACTGCTTCTTAGTGACCCTCTCCTTAAACCCACCATCTATAGAGAAGCATATTTACTTACAGAATAACAGAATTTTTACCCAGGGCAAGGAAATCTGTACAGAAAAATTTTGCAATCACTTTTGACTAGAAAAAAAATAAAAGAATGTTTTGCAATTTTTAATGTCATTTAAGTTCACAAAATCCCAGGAAGGATGTAAATTTGCAGCAACATAGCAAAGCATAAAGTAAGAATTCCTATTTCAAAATTGTGCTTGTTTCATAAATAATGAATGGTGTTTGTCACCATAATCAGAACCCTGATCAATTCTATTTTAATGCTAAGCTGAAATCAAAACCTCCTCAGGCAGCTGAGTCAAATCATTACTACAATGCAAAAAGCTCAGCCAAGGCATAGAGTACATGAATGCCCCTTTTCATATCTTGAAGGTCTCCTTGCATTGGAGACCATATCTTATTTATTACAAAATTCTTATCTGCCAGGCTTTGCTCTTCCCATAAACTCAGATAAGACCCAAGTAAGAAAATCAACTACCTGGATTGACTCAACTTCTTTAGCACTGAAATAGGCAACATGAATATGCCTACTTACTGAGAATGCCTGCATGCTGGCATGTATTCTCCTCTACTTGCACAGTAGAGAACAAGAAATGCCATTTCTTCAAACAGCATACACTCTGCATACACTTCCACTTCCTGCTTCTGCTGGGAATCAAACAGCTTCAAAAATCCATTGGCAGGGATGGACTATACGACTGCACAGCACCATGTGCACCCTAAAAAAGATCACAGAATCACAGAATATATCAATTGGGATGGACCCACAAGGATCATCAAGCCCAACTCGTGGCCCTGCACATGACCTTCCCCAAGAGTAACACCACGTGCCCTGAGAGTGTTGTCCAAATGAAAATGCATAGGTGAGAAGTCCCAAACTGCACAAAGTATACTAGCAACAGCATAGGACTCCTTTGCTTTTTTGCCCCAGGGTATTGCCAATTTCAAAAACTCATGTCCAGATAACGTTGCTGTAAGTATTTCCCCAGTTTAGCAAAGTGAAATTCCCACTAGTAGGATACGGAACAGCTTGGATGTTGGACAACTTGACTACGCTGCAAGTCTGCAGGCCACAATTCTTGTCAAAGTAGAAGAGGACGTAAGGCAGCTGCTAACCAATCTGGGCTAATACAGCACAGTGTATCAATCCCTTCATAACTGCAGCTATCCCAGGAAATAAGCATCCCAATAGAAGGAACAGCCCCTGTTTAGCCCTCAGAACAGTTTACACATTACAATATGCCATATCTGTAATGTTTCTGCTGGAGCACAAAACTATCCACTACTAAACTCTCTAGTCAATTAGGCCCTGCACAAATTGAGCATATGACAACATTTTGGCACACTTCAGAATTATGTGTAAAACTCCATGCAATGTAATTCAAAACTACTACTACCAAGCTTCATCTCCAAAGTTCCTCAAATTGTTCAAAATTCATATATAATTTTGCATACCATGTAGGCAGAGGCACATGCATGAAGGGAAAATCTAACAGCATATTGTACCATCAAATATAGAGCATAATAAACTTTGTCAGCAACAATCATAGATGATCTTAGCACCTACACAGTTTTACAGCTCCATAAACCTAAAATTAGAGAAATTTCATTTTTCCCACAAAGTATATTTGGAATTAACAACAATCCATGTTATTTCTGCTATTTTCTTAATGTAAAGAGATATAAGATGTAACTAGTAATATCAACACAATCTGTTTGCCAAATCTGTTTTCCCAGAAAAAACAAACCAAAAAATGCACAAAGATATGCAGTCACAAATACAGCGAAATTTCAATAAAAAGACACGTATGCTTACACTCTTCAGTGAAGACATCTGGTGACATAAATCTGATTACAAATTTGATTTTCTGAAAGCCATACTTGCCCTAATATATGAATCTTCCATGGAGACAAATAGAGGTGTCTACAGAGCAAGTAACCTACTAGTATCACCAAGCCCTGCTCAGTCTCCTGCTCACCTACACCAACACAACCATTTAAGTTGTGGATGATTAAACTACTTTTGCTGTTACCATGGGTTTACTCAAAAGTAACTACAAATGATGACCTAATATAAGCACAGCAACTACATATGTATAGCAAGCCTTCATCTTTTACCTACACCATATAATCTGCACAACAGGCTGTTCAACAGGCACCCAGTTCTGTGTGAATCCGTGTGCAGTGCAACCCTCTAAACATTCCTCTTCCACATCCTCTTCATTCCCTCAGTCTGTTGCCTCTTCAAGATCCCTTCCAAACCCAACCATCATATTCTATGATTCTATGAAACACTGTCTCTATGCACATGGAATTCAATAAATCTAGGTAAAACATGCTGGTTTAGTGGAACAAAACTTATAAAATTAAAGTGGAAAATGCAGCTTAATGTTAACAACTGGAGTAGCAAGACTAAGTCCATAATAAAATGAAAGTCCACAGAATGAAGATATTATCCCTTGCATAATTGTGTGTCTTAGCTGTATGATTATGGTTCCTAACAAATGTGATTATCAGCTGCCAGAATGATAAGCATTTTGTCATTTCTGCATCAGTCCACTAAGCACTAGTGCTAGAAGCAGTAAAATTAAGAAGATGCAATAAAATGAAATTGACTTAACAGAATAAATGGTTACCAGAATTACTGAACCTAGTGCTCAACATACAAAATAACTACCACAGTGCATTATCTTTTTTTAGCTACAATTCTTTCTCCATACTAAAAAATATTCTGAATTAGGGACATAATTTCTCAATTTCTCACTTCAGCCTAGAATTTTTGCCTCTAATCACTGTGACTACCAGTAATGAAGATGGCCAAATATAAATATTTACAGGACAAAATGTAGTCTTTCTTCCTTGTAATTGGTAGGATGTTGAACAAAACAGAAGGGAAAAAAAAAAAAAAAACCAAGAAATTTTAATGCCCATGGAATTAAAGGCTGAATACTTTCACAGTCTTTTGGTATATTTCCAAGATGATAATCTGAATGGGGAATTCAACAGCCATCTCTGCCAGTACTTCAGAAAAGAAACTAGACAGGGTTATTATACACCTACACAATGGTTTAGAGACAGTTAAGGATTTCATGAAGACCCAAGATATTGTTCTCCACTACCATTATTTCAATTTATTTTTTTTTTAATGCAAGAAAATGTTCATCAGTATCAAGGTCAAAACTCCAGACTCTACCAGAAGCAGTATTTTATTCCAGGCCAACTATCATCTCATCAGGTATCTTAATTTTTAATATATTTCAGATAAAGCCTTTCAGAATGACACAGTTTTCTGCTGACAGTAACTGTTCAGAATTGTCAATAATCAAGTCACAGAAAGTAAACCATGTTAAGTTTGAAACAATCCTTTGCTTTCAGGTCTCCATTAACATTTAAATTGTTAATCCAGCACTGTGAAATCAGCTCCATGTAAAAATAGAAGCAGTATTGTTTTATTTAAACTCTTTTTTTCCCAATTTTTGTGTCTACAAGCATGAATTTTTTTTAGATGTTTCTGCATTCCCCACTGTTTAACAAGAACCCACAATTGATTAATACTCTCACCTTCTCCTTTATTCCAGCTGTGTGAACTAAGCAGAATACTCAGGGTCATTTTATCTAAAGTATCACCTGGATTTGTTAACTCAGAGCAAGAATCAATTGATCCTAAGCATATACTAAGAGATTTTTTATTACCCCCCAAAAACCCCTGGTGAATTTGGAGGTTGGGTCTGGAAGCAAAATGTGTGAGAACCAGGAAAGGTGTTTGATGCACTAAACGATATTAATGCTAGTACAATTAGGAATTTAATCCCCTCTTTAACACTCAAAAGTCAGGAAATATGGAAAATTATGGTTCCTATAAGTGTCATAACTCATGCAATTGCATACATGCTTTATTTTATATTACATCCAGTTAAATTTCTAGGAGCTACATGGGTAAGTTATAGTTCTTTTTCAAGTATTAATTTTAAATTTTTGACTGGAGAACATGAGGGCATAAAAGAAACATTCAGCAGCATGTTACAGAGCTACAAGCCTGTCTTGTCTCCACAAACAAGCAAATTATATGTAAAACTTGGTGGGTTTTGCTGGACCTTTACTATACTGTACTACATCATCAGACTTAACTAGCAGAATGTTCAGCAAGGTCAGCACTTCACATAGTCAAAAACTCCTGTGGTTTGAAGTGCATCAACTGGACAGGAGTAACTCAGTAGTCAAGACAGGGAAGGTTGAGTTCTTAAATTTCTACATGTTGATACATCATAAAAACCAAAGAATTGCAGATATTCACTTGAGGGAAAAGGAGTGGAGAAAAATGATTCAACCTTTGACACTGAGGATCAAAGAAGTGGATAGAGAAGGAACTAATCTGAAAAACTAAATCATTACATTTATTCCACACATAAGTGCAACAAGCCTCAAGAGAGAGCAACTCTCCAGCCTGTTAAGCTCATGAAGTTGCATGTGATTTTTTAAGCAAAAAATTGTTTACTGAACTTTACAATATTCAGTAAATGTTCACTTTCTTGAAATTTAAATAAAGGTAACTGTCCAGGAAACTCAAGATACTGCTTAAATTCTTACTTGCGGACAAATAATATCTAATAAAGTTATGCAACACCATTTTTTATTTTCTCCATCTTCATCTAATTGTTGCTTTCCAAGTGACATTAACTTATGTTAACATTCTTCACAAGCTATTGGCTAGAGTAGTTTTTTTATAAATGTGTTTGCTACCTCCCAAGTGTCAGAACTCTCTAAGCTTAAAGTCATTCACAGGAAAGACTTATGTTGTTTCTACCATACTTCAAGCATATCCTGATATAACCAGGAAACAGAACAGGAGTGTAACACTAATCTCATATTAAGCATAAATAGCCACAAGCATTTAAAATCACTGTCATGCTGTATCATAGGAAGAGATAGTACAAATCACAGGATTTCTTGCTACATTTAACACATTTCTCAAACTACTGCTTTTAGCTCTGCTGTCTCATTTTTTTATCCATCATCCTACAACAGCATTTGGTAATGCCCCATGTTTAATCCATGTGGCATAAACTGTCTATTTAACATGTTTAGGCAGAAGATAACTGTAAGAGAAGGATATAACCTGACTCCAAAACATTGGCACCATAATAAAAAATATTTTCCTCAAAACCCTCTCTCCATCAGAACGTTATGGTATCTTCAGAGTCAACAGGTCATGCTCCATTTGGCATTTTTATTACTCTCCAGCTGAAGTGGATCAGCTACAGAAGAACCTGATTTTCCTTTTGGGCTTTCAGTGGTGTGTTTCAAGACCTTGTGAAAACACAGAGAAATCTGGAAAATAGAACTCTTTAAGTTTCAATAACAATGCAAATCTAACAAACTTAATCATTACACTTCATAATTTTAGTGTATGAATTGTGGGATTGGAGCTCCTGAGCTGGCGATGTTATAAAATGCTAATACTTACTCTTCATTTGTCAACACTCAGAGAAGCAAAATATTTATTCAAAATAGCACTGATTGCCAGTCAACTCCAAAAAGAGACTTGACAGACCTGTCCCTGGCATACAGATGTCATTTGCTATAAAGGAAACAACATTCTCTTTAGCTCACCCCTCAGAAATACCTTTAGTACCAAAACAGCCTCTAGAATCAAAAGCAGGTTTTGCTCATCTGCAATGACCAGAATGCTTTGAGCAACTTCAGCTTGTGTGCTGTGTTCTCTAGCAATTCCTAGCAGACTGGTACACAAAGCAGCTAGATCCTGGGTCTTAACAACCTTCAAATGCTTTTGAACCAGCACCCAAACTCTTGAATTTGTCCTGGCTGCAAAGACGAGCACCTCCCCATTACCGACTGAGAGATGGGATTACAAAGAAAAGGAGTGCAAAAGTAGTCCAAGCAAAAAAGCCAAAGCCGGAGCAGAAGTCAGAGTTGAAGTTGTATATTGAAGCCAGAGCATGTGAAGTCCAAGCATAGCAGTACAAGCTATTGAAGGCATTGAAGTCAATTATTGCTCATCACAGATTAGTTTATATACCGTTGCAGTTCCATGCAGTTACAGCTCTAAGCAGTCACATCCTTAAGTAAGAATTTTCCCACTAGTTACAGACAGCCTGTTGTTTGCCTTACTTAGCAGCCTTAAAAAACTACATGGTTTCAAAAACTTTTAATATGCTCTACTTTCCCAGTCTCGTATCTGTAGTCACTTATCCCACAGCCTGCATCCAACCAAGGCCAGAATATCTTGATCCATAAGCTCCAATCTGCTCCCTGTTGTCTCCAATTTGGTTTCCCACAGCCCCTGATAAACACAAAAGGAGGAGAGAAGTACTTCAGCCTGTACCACATGCTTAACAGCCTTCCCATTCCCATATCCATCTTAGCAAAGAGAATAAAACCCTTTTGAATGGTCCTTGCTAGCCATTTAAATTTTTTTTATTTTCATTTTTAGTTATTAGTTATTTAGTTATTTAGTTATATTTATATATATATATATTTATATATTTAGTTATTGTTTAGCTTATTTTATTTAGTCATCTAATTACACATTAAAAAACCCTTTTTTCAGCCTTTGTCTGTGAACTTGCAAGCATTCTGCATTCCCTGCCTTACTGTACTGGGCCTCCCTTGAGAGCAAAGACTCCAAGCATTGCTACAATGCATTCAGCAACAAACCCAGCAGGATACTAATGGGCTATCTTCATTAACCTTTGCTGATCTAACTGTGCTCTTGTACTTGCACTCTGCACATTTGTGATGTCTCATAAAGATTCATAATAGGAACTTTAATGGCAAAAGAGCCTGTACACTAAATTGCTCATGCGCCAAAAAGGAAGAGTGGCTGCAAGAAACAGTACAGTTTCTTATTTTTTTCTCATCAAAGCAGTGGCAGCACTTGAAAGAGCAAACTGAATATAGGAATGGATCAATAGAGGAATGGCACAGATGATGATTAATGCAGGGAAATGGCTACTTAGGCACAGTAACAGAAGCTGCATTCACCAGGTATCCAAAATAAAACACATGTTCTGAGAGAAAGACATCAGATGGCGTCAGTATTAGCTCATGAGATACAGAGAGTCCAGCATAACATTTGCCTTTCTCAAAACATTGTTGTCAACCCTCATAACGCACCATGCAAGCAAGCGAGAAAATTGAGTTGTTACCAACAGAGGTAACTTTTGGGGTTACATACCTTGCCTTTAAGATACTTGTGTAATTTAAACTCCACATCAGATTTTTCAAATACTGCGCTCATAAAAGTTGACAAGGTGAAATTCAAAGGAACTTTTAAGCCATGAAGAAGGATGAGCAGGGCAACTTAGAATTTTATATATTTTATATATAAAAACAATAAAATCTCCTTCTCACTTTCTTAAGCAAATATCCCCCATATAAGTTAGTCTCTTAGTTTCTCACTTTCTTAGTGTGATAATGAAACTTCTGTAGGTTACAATGTACATTAATTAATTGAACTTGATTACTTGTTTGACACAAAGGGAAGAAAAATAAGAGCTAAGATATAGTTCAAAGACATGGTACACCATAAGTAGACAGTTACAGTTGAATGAACATAAAAGCAAATTTAAGATAGCTATGTCAATAACTATGTCAATAAAAACAAGGAAGATATTTTCAGAGCTATCAAAGATGTGTTCTGTAGGTCAAACAACATGACGATGAATGTGATTAGAATTAGCTTATATAAAAAAGAGAACAACAGAATAAATTTTGATATTCCCTCTTTTTATCAGGCATTTGGTAACTTTCTAGCTGCCAATTCAAGGAAACTCAATAGCAACTCTCAGTTGGAAGTAGCACCTTTGCCTTAGACCATGAGTAAAATTAGGCCCCAGCTCTCCTTTAGTTTAATCAAAGTCTGCAGAAGCCTAACTGCAATGTGCAAGTGGGAGAGAAAGGGTATAAGCCCATAAGGTCTGCAAAACCTAGGGGATGGAGACAGAATTCAAGCTTCAATAAGTATTTACTACTTCTGCTTTGTTGAAACAAAGCAATGCAAAACATTAGCCATTCATGTCACATTCCTGAACTGATTGCCACTCCTTCTGAAGGCACAACACGTCTTTACAAATACTCTTCAAAGCAAAGGAAAAGCTTCAACACACATTAATAAACATGAAAGAGTAGCGTTACAGAAATTTAGTCACAACATGTTCAATAATTTCAATGGAATCACGCAAATCTTCATATTACCCTTTAAAAATGAACTGAAATAAGAGAAAAACCTCTGAAAGGATCAAATGTTTTAAAGGCTTTGCAATACACCATGGTGTGGCATACAAAAATATTTTAAAATAGTAGTCTTTTTGTGGCTGTTTCTTTAATTTTTGTATATTATATGAATAGTTAGTAGATATTTTCATTAAAACTGTACTGTTGAGGAGGAAGGACCATACTTCAGTTAATTACAGTTCTTCATAGATAAAAAAGATTACGATAATTTGTAACTATAACTAGTGATCTGGAGTGTTGTTTCTCTTTCATTTCAGAACTCAGGAAAATTTAAGACCTGAATTACCTTTTGGATACTTTGGTCTTATTAACACCTCCCCCCACCCTCCCTCACCTCCCTTAATGCTGTTTAAATTGATTCATTAATGTTTAATCTAAAAACGATTAATGTATGATGTGAAAGGTTAAGCTTGAGATAAGGTCTGATACAAAGGGGGTGGCAGGCACCCTGATGAGAAGCAGACTGGCTCTGAGCTTTTGCAAGCCAAGTGGAGATGTTGTTGTTCTGCCATGGATGAAGGGGCTCATTATCCCAAAGATAATTGCCCAGACGCCACACCAGTGAGGTCACACGAAACACGGCTGCGATTGCTGAACCAGTAGGGGGACTAATTAACAGTCAAGGCTGCAGACAGCCATTCTGTACAGACCCCCACTTAGATGCATAGCCCATCCCATCAGTGTTAAACATTAGGTCACAGTCTTTTGCTGCCGAGTGAAAACATCATCCCACCCATCAGAAGAATAAACACTCTGGTGCTACTTTTACAGCATTAAAATTCATCCTTTCAGTCATCTTGTACATATTGATGGTCATCAATTATTTTTATGCCCATATCAATTAATGATTTGGCATCTCCTTTGTTTAATGCAGAAAAAAACTGTATCACAAATTAAGAGTAAGCCTGAAGTTCTAAAAAGGGCTAACTCACACTAAGGGTAAGCAATATTTTAATTTTCCATCATGATCATTTTTTCTGCTGTCTCTCATTCTGCATTACATTCCTTACTTAACAAGGGGAAAGCATGAATTGAGACCTATCTGGTGCTTTCAGAGACCAATCTATTTTTCAGCCACAGCTACTTTACAGGGGTGTTTTAGTCAATAATGCAGCAGTAAATTCTACACTTGCAAACTTACGGGCCTCTTCAGACTAACCCTTGATTTTAGTGGGTATTTCAACAAGAGCACACACAGCCAGCCAATGGAGGTCACTGAGGCAACAGGGGAATTTCCATAACAGCAGTAGGCAGGCCAGATAGGTAGTATTTAAATAGTCTTTTCCAGATGCTTTAATTTCTTCCAGCTTCTTCGACTGACATCTGGTATGTTCTTAACGCCTTGAAAAGCAGCCATTGAAACTTGACAATTCTGTATTTCTGTAACAAAATTGAGAGAAGTTTCAACTTTTCGCCCTTGTGAATTCAAGTCAAATTTGGTATATCTTTACAGTCAAGAAATACTTCATATCTTTTAAAAATTTGGATTACCTTGGAAAAAACTGGGTATGTTTTCCCTTTCAAAGTTGGTTACATTTAATCAGAACAATCAGAATAATTTGCTAAGAGAAAGTGAATTATTCTGGGGGTTTTTGCCTTTTTTCACCAAGGGGAAAATGTTTTGCTTTTAAGCTGTTGTGTACCTTTCCTCCTTTTTTTTCCCCCCTCATTTCACTCACTGAACCAAAAAAAAACCCAGCTGTCTTGATCCCAAACTGCTAGCTTTATTCTCTGAATCATTTAACCATTACAGGATCTCCTTCCCAAGACTGATGTCATTCCTACACAAGGAACACGTAAAAGCCTGAATCCCAGAATGGGTAAGGTTGGAAGGGACCACAGTGTGTCATCTGGTCTAACCTCCCTGTTCAAGCAGGGTCATCCTAGAGCACCTGGATAGGATTGTTTCCAGATGGTTCTTGACTGCCTCCAGTAAGGGAGACTTCATACGCTCTCTTGGTAACCTAGTGCTTTTTTACTGTGCTCAGTCACCTGCACAGCAAAAAAGTTCTTCGTATTCAGGTGGAATTTCCTGGGCATCAGTTTCTACCTGTTGCCTCTTGTCCTATTACTCAACATCACTGAGAAGACCCTGGTTCATCCTCTGATCTCTGAGGAGGTCCCTCTCAGTTGTCGCTTTTCATGGCTGAACAGGCCCAGCTGCCTCAGCCTTTCCTCACAGTCCCTTCATCATCTTTGTCATCATTCACTGGACCCACAAAAAGACATGTCTTTTTTGTCCTGAGGAGCCCAGAACTGGACACAGCACTCCAGATGTGCCCTCACCAGAGCTGAGCAGAGGGGCAGGATTACCTCCCTTGACCAGCTGGAATGTTCTTCCTAATGCATCCCAGGACACCCCAAGGACACAAGGGCCCTGCTGGCTCATGGACAGCTTGGTGTCCACCAGGACCCTTCAGGTCCTTCTCAGCAGGTCTCTCCCAGCCTGTCCTGGTGCAGGGACAGGTTATTCCTTCCCAGGGGCAGGACCCTCTGCCATTGTTGAATTTCAGTTGGTTCTTCTCTGTCCATGTCTCCAGCCTGTTGGGATCCTTCTAAATGGCCTCAAATAGAGAGGCCTGCTTTCACCTAACATCCCTCTGTGCTTTGCTTTACTCTTGCCTGCCACTTGGAATTTCTGCCACCCCCTGCAGTTTTTGAAATCCTTCCTTCATTTCAGAAGGCTCATGTTACACCGAGGCAAATACAATATTTCTTCTCTTGGCCAATAATGTTAAATAAGTTCAGGTTTTGCTTCAGGTATGTCTTTTCCCCCCATACCTTCTCTCTAGTTTTTTTGTCAGGTTTGCTTATCATAAATATGTATCACTTGGGTTAAGATTGCCTAGTTTTAAAAGCTAGCCATGCATTTAAAGATGTATATTATATGTACATAAATATATATATGTGGGATCTCAGGATCTGAGTCCTGAGATGCCGAGCCACCGAGACCACCCTTGGGGGGCCCGAGAGTCCTAGAATGTTGCCAGAAGTGTCTGGTGGCTGGACTTTGACCCTACACGGGAGACGACACCTGTATGAAGATAAGAAGACTTCACCGAGGTGAATGGCGAAGAGATTAGTTAATTAGAGGGTGAGACACAGAGTTTAGGATTTATGTACAGAGGAGTTTACAGAAGTAAGATGGAAGAATTAGAGTGTGTCCTGTCCTTCTTCTTCTTCTCCTCCATCTTCTTTGGTGATGGTGGCACTTTCAGATTGGTTATTACTGAAAGTGCACCGAGTAATAAGAATAAATGGTATTGGAGAAAAATGATAAATATTGTACACGTAACAATGAGTATAAAAATAAGTAGCTTTACGGAGAGCGGCAGTGTGCTCATAGCTGACTGCTGAGCAGATCTCTGTCGAGCTGAAAGAACATCTTTTAGATAAACAATTAATAAACATAAAAACCGAAAGAAGAACTGAAGCCTCTTCTCGTCCTTCGATACGCGGGCTGTCCCAAGGCCACTCCGGGCCTTTCCAGGCCCTTCAAACAGACCAGAAAACCCGACATATATATATGTATTTAAGGGACTATTTATGTATTACACTGCATACTCTTTACAGTGATCTGTCAGGTTTTTCTGACCATATGAAGGTAATCAACAGATTTCACTCTTTGGAAAAAAAGTCAAAGGTAAGTAGTATAAATGTTTAGTGACAGCAAAGCAAAAATAGAAAGAAATCCAAGAATGAACCTCTGGGAATCTATAACAGCTGTCACAGAATGGCTGTAAATGGGTAAAACCTACACTGGTAAGAAAATACAGTGATAATATTTGTAGAGGCTGCAAGAGGACTCCATACAACATAAATCTAACTGGAGAAAACTTCCAAACATTAAGAATAGCTATTTTGAATACACAATAGCTAGTAGGGAATCTTTTGGATATCTAAACCTGGAAATGACAGTTTTCAAACAAACCCCTAACTGTAAAATTGTCATTGTCTTCTTTATCACATATAAATGTGTTTTCATGCCTTTGCTTTTTCCACAGTTCAAAGACTGATTTATTACCAGGGGTAAACCTGTGAGAAAGGCAAAAAAGCAAATGCAGGATTCATTCAAGCTCTGCTCTAGTTCCAGTCCTGAGATC